CAGAGCCATGGCGCAGACCTAACCATGTGGTGGAAGTTGCCGGAATCGGTGGAAATTCCCGAATCCTCGGTGCCGAACAAAAAATGGTGAGCTCCCGGTGCGCAAATGGAGGCGGCTCGACGAGCTCCAGGAGGGAGGCTCGGTGGTGTGAGCCCCAGGCGCAAATTGAGGGGAGGCTCGGTGGTCCTTTGTGGTCCGACCTATGTGGTACTTTGTTCGAGGGGAGGATTGTTGAGGTGCAAACAATGTCCCACATCGGTTAAATATGGGAAAGATCTATGGTTTATAATGAGGGGATAGCAACTCCATTGGTATGAGGCCTTTTGGGGAAACCCAAGAGCAAAACCAGTTGGGCTCGGCCCAATCTGGACAATATCATACCAATGTGGAGTTTGTGCTATCCCGACGGGGGCCCAACAGAAACATTGTCTGCGAAGATATCAACGGAACTTTCGTCCACTGTGACGTACGTCACCAAAGAATCCGACGTAAAAAACGCCGTCGCCAGGTACGGCAATAGACATCATGTTCAACAACGCCGGCACCGCCGGAGCAGCACCCACCGACAAGAATCAGCATCCTCGAAAGCGAGCAGTCGGACTTCGAACACGTCGTCCGGGTCAACCTCGTCGGCGCGTTTCTGGGCATCAAGCACGCCGCCGGAGAGATGATCTCCGACCGCCGCCGGGGGAGCATCATATCGACGGCGGGCGTTTCCTCATCCGTCGTGGGCGGGATGGGCCCGCACGCGTACACCAGCTCGAAGCACGGGCTGGTGGGCCTGACTAGGAACTCCGCCGTGGAACTGGGGCGGCACGGGATTCGCGTGAACTGTGTGTCGCCGTACGCCGTTCCGACGCCGATGGCGAGGAAATACTTGGCGGCGATGAGTACTTCCGTAGGGTTTACTCCAACCTGAAAGGAGAGGATATTCTCAGGGAGGATGACGTGGCGGAGGCGGCGCTGTACTTGGCCGGTGATGAATCAAAGTACGTACACGTGAGTGGCCATAATCTTGTGGTTGATGGTGGGTTTTCCGTTTTGAATTATGGGTTTTCCATTTTTGCTGATCCTTAATTAATCCACGTCATTACGGATTATTTATTTTATTTCATTTATTTATTTTGTAATGAATAAATCAATAAATTAATTATGTGGGCTGCAAATTCAAGTATGCTACTGGTTAAGTGAAGTGTTTCATACTCTCCTTTATAACAGCCCAAAATAAATAAATGTAACCCCCAAAATTTTGGGCCCAAAAATGAATGGGCCTTTTTATTGAATTTAATTTAGTTCATAATGATAATTATAATGCAATTTAAATTATTATATTTTCTTCTTTTCTTGAACTATACATAGGAAAATATAATATATATATATATAAATACATATAGGTGCATCTTTCAATTGTCACTATTGGTTTCTATTTAATATAGGAGTAAATAACATAATTAGTTGATAAAATTTACTTTACTATATTCCAACTTTAAAAATCAAAGCTCGCAACTGAATATAATTATTCAATAAAATTAATTTTGTAAAAAAAATATCAATAAATTAAATATATATTTGAGAAACTATATTAATACCACAATTTTTAATAAAATAAATGGATTAAATCTAATTAATTCAAATTAATTAAAATATTTCGTGTTTTCTGTGAGCTATTGCTCGGTGAATCAAAAAACAATAAAATTATAACAATAATACAAAATAATAAAATAGTTAAATACCAAAGTTGTGAGAGAGAAAGTCCAGAGAGAATTCTCTCAGTAATCGTCCGCCATTACTGAATTTTGTTAAGATAAGCGGAAGCAAAATTACCAAAATAACCTTTATTGTTTGCTTTCGTTTTCATCTCTCCTCGGAAAACAACAGTTACCAGCGATTTTTCCTTCAAAATCACCAAACGGCGCAAAACTCGTCTTCAAATTTCTTGACTCCAACCATTTTCTTAGATGCTGTTCAAGTCAAAGTTCATCCCTCATCTATCTGTAAGTTCTTTCTTTCTAATTAATTTACTCGTAATTACAATTTTTTTGAACCTGATTTTCTAAATTATGATGTAGAAAATCAACGAATAACTGAAGTATTGCATTCTCGAAGCTAGGTATTAATTGTTTTTTGGGTTAATTTTGAGCTCAATTTTAGAGTTCACCCGAACCCTAATTTGGTTGCTTGAATTGAACGCCGAATTAGGGTTTTATGTTTCTATTTTCATTTTCATTTTTTTAACTACAGTGAGTTGGTTAGTAGATAAGAATTGCAATAAATAGGTCATTAGGGCAAAAGATGAATCTAATTACTTGGATTTTTCGTTCAATTAAACTTCCATTCATCAATTGAATCATGTAGCAATTGTATTTTTATGATTTTGTTTTGTCCTCGTTTTCGTTTAGGTTTAATCGAAGGATATAGAAGATATGTCGAGGCCTACGCTGCTTGTTTTTCTTTTGCTGGTATTGATTATCACATCACAGTTCGAATGGAGGCAGCAGTTAGTGAGTGATGCTGAAACAACTCATACTCAGTCTCAGAAGCAGCTGCAAATATCACTAAGAGAAGAAAGCGTCAAAGAGAAGGTAATTGCATTCATCTTTCGGTTGATTATTCAGTAACGAATTTTCGTTATATATCGATTTCTTTGTCAAAATTATTTTGTGTAAATAGCTCAAGATTTTTTGCTTGTTTTTTACATTGTACATGTGTTTCGACGAGATTAAACTTGAGAGATTTGTTTACTACCAAAGCAACTTCTTTTGTCTACGTTTCTAGTTCAGTTATATGCAAATGTTTCTATTGATGCTCGTGTACTTTATGTACTGTCTGTATTGGCAAACGATGTAGTGTTGTGTAAGTTAGTTTTAAGATTTGCCTCAGATGTTGCACATAGCAAAACTCTCGTACCATGTTCATGTGTTCTGATGCTACATAGCTCAATACGTAACCTTAATTTTTCTCGTTTCTTTAGTTGCTGCACTAGTTTTTTAATTTGTTGAATGTACTTACATACGAGAATTTTTTTTAAAGTTTTTTGGGTTTCTGTAAACTGACCGTATCTTCGAATATTGCAACACTTGAAGATGGTATCAAAAAAATTAGTCTTCAAATAATCCGAGATATTAAGTTCTTCATTGTCCTAATATCTCCTTTCGTATTTAGTTCTACATTGACACTGAACTTGTCTCTTATGACGTGCTATCATTTTAGTAATAATAGTATATTTGGCTCCCCCGAAAACAAAATTGCGGTATACGCCACTGGATATGATCTTGTGAAGAATCTGTCTATGTTTTATATTTTAACATTACGAAAGCAGAAATTTTACATGTACTACTATTCTTATATTTGTATATTTTACGTTGGTTATGTACAGATTATCTTGTCGCAAGAAAAGAAGCTCCAGACATTGAACGAGCTTGTTCAGAGCCTTAAAGAACAACTGCAACAATGCCGGAGTAATAACGAGACATCAAACAGCACTCTCAGCTCTATGACTGGAAAGATTATCGAGCTTGAACAACTGCAGATTCTCGAAGACTGAAATTGTCGTCCCGTTGCTTATACTATTTGTGCTATATTTTTCCTATTTTTGTTATTTGGAATAATTTTCTGTAAAGTTTAGTTATTGTGCTACCAAAGAGTAGTGGTGCCATGTTGTCGAATTGCTGCTGCTGATACATATTATATATGACGATAACTCGTTTAGTAAAATTTCACTGAATCTGAATCATTTGTGAGATTTACATGATTGTATACATATTTTTAATAATCTATTGAGATTTTGATTAGTGTAAATTACAACCACCCCACTCAGTTACGGTTTATTTACAAAAAAAACCCTCATTTGTCCAAAATTACATCCACCCTCTGCAATTTGTTGATTTCTTACATTATCACCCTTTTGTAGGGGGTGTATGTAAGATATTTACAAACTGCAGGGGGCTGAATATAATTTCTAAACAATAAAGGGTCTTTTCGTAAATAGAGTTTACCTTAGGGGAGGTAGTTATAATTTACCCTTTTGATCCACTGGGTCGGGTCACTCGGTAATGAACCGATTCAATTGGATTGAACCCTCATTTTTAATCGATTGCTTAACGCTAATCCGCGATTGCTACTGATTCATTCAAGCTTTCAGCGACGGTGGGCAGCTATTTCACGGCGGCGCGTGGGAGTCGACGACATAGTCTGGCTAAGGTAGAAAATATTATCAAATATAGACGCTCTATACAGTGTACTGCTATCTTCTCTCTCAGCTGAGTTTTATAAAATTCTTGTTCAGGATATCCTATTTTCGCTGATTTTTTTTTCCTCTGTAAATCAGATTACAACATCTGGGTATGCTGAATTTATTCAAATCTCAGATTACTTCCCACAAAATCCAGTTATTGAAAAACACCCGAATAATTGGGTGTAGAAATTTAACTTCAGAATCAAACCAGAAGACCGAAAGCAATGTTGCAATCTTTTGGGATTTGGATAACAAGCCCCCAAAATCATTTCCACCGTACGATGCAGCAACAAAATTGAAGCTAGCCGCCCATAGATTCGGGTTTGTGAAATACATGATCGCTTACGCCAATCACCATGCATTCAGCTATGTTCCCCCTTCAATCAGGGCACAAAGAAGAGACACGAGAGCATCGAACGAGCTCGAAACCATGGGTGCAATCAAGCCCGACGAGCCC